GTTTCAAAAAATTTCCCTCTCAAAAAGTGACCATATAGGGGTCACACGGGGCTCCGAAACAGAAATTTTTATGTCAACATAATCTCACGATGCTGAAGAAAGATTTGCACCCATTAAAATTGGTTTGAAACTTCTCTTTTACTTATTCGAGCAAATTTTTCTTTGCACAGTCGTACTCTGTCGTATCGCTAACAAAATTGTCAAGTCGCTAACGAGAAATAAGTCAATTTTTTTGAAAAATCTGGGCATATTCAAAAAAATCTTTCGCTAGAGATTTTGTAGCCTCAACAGAGGTCTACAGGATGAACTAGTTAGTTTTGTGAAAATATTCTTTCGCTTTGGTGGTTTTTTCATTGGAAAGGCAAAAAGTGAAAATCAATGTCTCTTTTTACGTCACGCCGTTAATGCCACTTTTTCATCAATAACTCCTTTGAAACACAGTCTTTAGAGCTGATTTTTTCAGGGTATCTTGGGTAGGTTAACATACATACAGTAGATAAAAATCAACTCTAGGAAAGTTCATTAGCCTGAGATATATGTGTTGCAATTTTACGAAGTCATGTCGCTAACAAATGATTTTGCCCATATGGCGAAATCAGAGGTGTCAGGAATAATGCTCCTCTACTTAAACCATTGACAATAGAGAGTTCGCCTAAGTTCTATTATTTAGAGGACCCTTCAAGCTATATACTAACGTAAAAAAATCGATGGGTCCTTATGTAAAATTTTAGACTTATCAGTCAGTTTTCCAGATATTGCCTAAAAGGTGGGTTTGGAAAAGTTCCTTAACAATTTTTTGCGATACAAAAACGATGCGCTATCATCGTGGCTATTTACTGGTGAAAACCGCAGATTTCTATCTCCTTTTGTTCTCGAGCTATTCAAAAAACAGTCACATCCACGGACTTTTTGGACGGGCAGTACTTTTATATGAACGATTTATGCACAATAGTATCTTATGAAGCCATTATGGCAGCATTAGAACGCTTTCTCAATGAATATTACAAAGCTGAGCAAGATATTCATGGCCTAACTATCGATACCATGAAACTGATTCGTATCATTCTTCAAAATCAAACTTTTGTCTTCCAAAATAAAATCTATCGACAGATCAAAGGTGGTGCTACTGGCTCTCCATTAACTATTCTCTTGATGAATATCTACCTGTTCTATTGGCAAGAAGATTTAGCCAAAATGATGGTAAACAAAAATGAAATATTTGGTCGATGTTTTTATGAAGAATTTCATACTTGATATGGGTCAATACCTACGACTATCCACACACAACCATCTTCTAGACAGATCACAGCTTCTACTGGAAATAAGATTAATCATATTGATGTTCAAATAGGTCACATCAATGGTCGCCTTCAAACTAAAATTAATCATGATCTAGATACTGAACCACGTTCCCTTCCTTATGTACACGGCCATCCACACCTCACGTCCTCAACATTAATTCGAGCATCTCTCGTTCGTGCGGTACTTTGTTGTTCGAATACCATCGATTTTGATAATGAACGACGTGATATTGATGAAACATTTAGTACCAATGGTTATACTTGGGATTATATTATCGATTATGTCAAACAATTCTTTCAAGAATTTTAAAGCCTTAAAATTGAAATCTCATCTCAATCTGATATGAGAAGCTCCGTCGTCTTGTGTATGAATATGATCAACAACAAATGACTATGAAAATCAAACAACGTAAGGCTGATCAAAACAAAGAAAATGGTATATTTCATCAACTTTCAAACGCTGAATTCATCGATTCTAGTCTTTTCAGGATCTGGAC